AAATACTTTTTGTAAAGTGCAATACTTGGCTACTCATATGGTATAAGACGAAATGTGCTGGAGTTATTTTTACATGCATTCATCCATATATATGTAAATAAATTAGGGTGGTCCCAAAATGCATGTGAAATTACCCCTGTTCCTTTATTTTGTAATCAACATATATTTAGAGGTCGCTCAATGCGCTCAAAGTTTACCATGTATTTTATATGGGAAAAAACACTTCGTAGAAATGGTATAGAATTCTTGAAGATCAATATTTTTCGATCAGGAAAATCTGTTTCTCTTCACGAGATTCCCAATAATAATAACTAATAATTAATTTAATTGTTTTTTCATAGTAACTGTATTTTATAGGCCCGCCAAAACCCCCGGAAAATGCAATGGGGGGATAAATAAACAATCTTTAGTATTAAAAAATGGTTAACTAAACAATTGGGTATTGTTATTGGAAGTCGCCTAAAAAGAACCAGAGTTTTACGATCGGAAAATATTGATTTTCAGGAATTCTATACCATTATACCATTCTATGTATATTTTTTCGACTTTACTTATTTTTTTGGACCATCCTAATGTGCATACAAATGTGTTGACATACATACATTCAATTACATTCACCATGTGCGCGTACTATTTTTATTGCTTCTTTTTTTTTGTCCAGACCTCCATCGTTATCGGTTGACTAAACCGCATTCACGAGTTTTCGCATAATTTTGGACGTCGGGTAATATTTTGTTTTACTGCCGGTTTCGCATTTAACTGCACGGACCAAGTGTTCCAGCGTCTGATGGGAATTGCGTAATCTTTAGCGTTGCAGTCAGATATGAATGTATTTTTGTATGTACTTGGGCGTTGATGTAGTATACATATAAACAAATTTACAATGCCATACCCAGTTCGATGTAAACATTGTTTTTTTTTTCTCTACATCACATCAAAGCCAGCAAAACGTTAATGGGTAAGATGAATATCCGTTGCAAAAATATAAATTATAAACTCGTGCGTACGTAAAGGGGTCAGCGCGTTCACGGCGATGCAGAATATAAAAATTTAACTTTAAGATAAAAAGTAGAAAAAAAAATCTTTTTATAAATTAATGTATGTATTTTATGGTGGACACTTGCAACCTTGATGCACATACGGCTGTAATTTTTTCACACCTTTAGTGGCCTGGCCTTTCTACGTATTTACAATTAAACTAAAAAATCGCACTGCAAGTGAAGAGATCGCTTCTGTGTAGCACACGTTGTGGACACACGACCGGTAGCCGCTTCAACCTAACCTAGGAAAAGCCCTAATTTAAGTTCCGCAGACAGCTGGTAACTACTGCAGAGAGTTATTATCGAGCGAACGCCGCACAGCTGAGAAGGAAATACTAAGATAATTCCACCTCGTCGTCCTCCAAACACCGCAGGACACGCGTCCGAGGCGGCAGTTGACGATTAGCCAGCTCCAGAAGCCTCTATAATCGCACTCGGTCGGCCAAAAATATTTTGCAACTTTTGTGGAATGAGTTTTCTTCGTTCCTGGTAAAATTTGGTTCAGAGACAAAGTGGTTTTGGGCGTTGTGCCAAGGTGGTGTGTTCCATCTCCATTGTCATTTTCACAAATAAAATGAAGAGACAAACAAATCCTTTGATTTCGAATGTGAGAATGTGAGGGATAATACTAAGCCGATTGCGAATGTGAATAGGAAGGCTCATACGAAGATGTACAATATAATAAGTCAGTGTCTTTTTGATTAAGAATTTATAACCAGCCATTATGAAGCTGCGTGGTAAAAACTTATGGTTTAACAACTGAGGTAAAGTACTCCCTAGTTTTGTCCGCAAAAAACTCCGGAAGCATTGTCGGGAGGAAGCGCCATAAATTTATAACTTAAGAAAGTTTTATTATACGGCAATTGAGAAGTGCATGCGCAAAAATTTCATAAATATCATAAAGGAAATTTTTGCACATGCTGCAGTGTATAGCATGTATTTAGACGCTTGGGGATAGTAATCGCGTCTAAGCACTAGTATCCGGATTCCAACATTTTCTATCTCTAATTTTGATCGCGAAAAATCCCCAAAACAATAGAAGACGCCCCTAGCAATATGCAACATATCTAGTAATCAAGTAGTATCAAGAATCTCATTATATTATGCATACTTTAAGATCCAACTGTAATTGCCGAAGCTAAGACGGAAAATGTAAAAAGGCGACTTCTACGTTTGAACAACAAAAAAAAAATTCTTTCGAAATTTCCATACAAACTTAGATTCCATGGTGTACGGCAAACTTTTTTTCTGGTACGGTTTAATGTACATACATATGTACATTTTTATGTATGTATGTAATACACACTGGTATGTATGCATTCGCATGTACATACCCACTAGAACTTGAAGGGAGATCTCCCTATGTGAGGAATAAAAGAGTACTCCCCTTAACCTGATTTCTGTGCAATAAGAGAGATTTGTCGGTTTTGTACTCCTTTATTACTCGTTTAGGAGTCAAATAAGAGATCTCCTAAGCGAGCGACGAAATAATGCTCCCTGAGGCATGATTTGGGAGCAGTAAACGAGATTTCTCGGTTTTGTACTCCTGTATTGCTCGCTTAGGAGCTTAATGAGAGATCTCCTAAGCGAGCAATTAAAGAATACTCCCTGAGGCATGATTACATACATATGTACATTTTTATGTATGTATGTAATACACACAGGTATGTATGCATTCGCATGTAGGTACTTACTTACTTGATACAAAACACACGTACTAGGTATGAATTACACCATATCTAGTTTTCGGCATCTAAACGTTTTCCCTTCAATATTTTCATGCTTAATTAAGCATTGAAGTTCAACTTCTGTTACGGTTTAAAAGACTTAATGTCAAGTTTTTTTTTTCACAGTTTGTTGACTTCTAATGTCAAATTTTATCTGTTGGTCGATTACCCACAAAGTAATCAAATGTGGCCTTCTATATGATTATATGATTTTGTATACGTATTATAAGTATATTGTATGTAGTCTACGTACGTGATGCAAGTTGCTAATATTTACTTAGTACCGAACTTAATGGATGCTTAAGCAAGTTTTAAAGTATCATTATCAGCGCTAAGTTAGGCTCTAATAATTTTTGGTCATTAATTTCTTACTTAAACTGCTGATTACGTTAGCAAATTATTGCATACGATTCAGTTGAGGGGCAATGTAGAATAAGTTGTCGGCAATTAAATAATCTTCAAGTTGATATGATGTAATGTTAAGTCATGTGATCACATCTCGTATGCCGATTATTATATCGATAACAATATCGATCACCGTATCGATAAATATACATATCTATAACTTATCCATAAATATATCGGTAACAATATTGATTATTACAACTCTAGCAATATCGATAACAATATCTATTATGTATATCGATAAAAAATATCGATAACACTATCGATTATTTTGTCGATAACAATATCGATGAATATATGGATAGACTTTCTATTGCTTTCAGAACAAAATAAAATACGTAAGGCTAAAAAGTCAAAAGACATTGGGTTTCACGTTACACGGACCTTCCTCCGATTGGGATTAAGATTTGAATTGAGATTAACCTCCCTATTCTGTGCACTTGACCAATAATCAACCTTGACTATTTGTCAATAAATTTGCGCCTAAAGCTATGCCGCTAAGATTTGTATGTATTTGCTAAATTTGTTTTAAATTTTTAAAGCGTCTAGAATTAAATTTTTGCAGCATAGTTTAGGCGTAAATTTATTGACAAATAGTTAAGATTGACAATTAATGTTAAATGCACAGAAATGGGGTATAAGTTTGAAATTAAAATTTTTATTGAGATGGACATTAAGATTAGCACAGATTTCGTTTAAGAGGAATAGGTAGTTCCCTAACTTGATTTAATTCAACTATTAAACTCAACCTAAAATAGTATAAAGTAATTGACAATAAAAATAATTTTACCGGAAAACAAAACGTGGTGTGCTTGATATCAATTGTTTTGAACTTTTCATTTTCAGTTTAACGCAGGAGTTTTATGGAATGCAAAATTATAATCTCAAAATGAAAGACAGCAATATAACATAATTGGCCTACAAAAATCTAAAAATAATAAGCAACTATTAATGACTAAACATAAAAAAAAATATCATTCGACAACTCAATGAATTACAGCTTTGAAGAGAAAATGACCTCACTCGAGAAAAGTTGTTTTGTCAAAAGTCCACCAATATATAATGCAGTTATTGTGATGTGTTTTTATACCCGAGCGCACTTGTGCACAAGGGTATTATAACTTTGTT